TTGGCATTAATGAGCGTCAAAATAAAATAAATTGTATTTGAATTGCTGTTTTGTTGTTTTGTGGCTGGGCGTGAAGTATGCATAGCCACGTATCCCCTAGATACACACAGAGCCAGAGCCTCATAGAGCCACATAGACATAGACATTTGTTGGGTACTGTTGTGATTATGTAATTTCTGTTGCTGTTTTGTTTAGACTTCTCGAGAGTCTGTCGGGGTTGTACGACAGACAGACAGACAACAAACAAGTTTATTTCGATGGCATTTTACTCTTGGTTTCAGTCGCAGTCGACTCTGACGAGAGTCCGTATGTAGGTTGGGGTCACATCTCCGCCAGGCAAATGACTCTGCCACATCCATTGCTGCTCATCGGATCTCTCATTGTTTCGAGCACGAAGCAGCACCCACCCGAAACCCGAAAGCAGCAGTGGAAAACAGTCAAGAAAACTGCTAGAAAATTGAAAAATTGAACAATTGCTGTTACAGTCAACCAATTGTGAGTAATTTTTATAACAATTTGAGGATGACATAAGATGATCTAAGACTTCCTATTTGACAATCCAATTAAAAGGGGCAAAGATAATGAGGGTTTGTGTATATCGGAATCTCCGTGTATTTTGATCTGTTAACTACGAAATTATTTTCCGTATTTGATCTACTCTGCTGGCTGTGTATTCCCTTATCTGATGTGCCTTGGCTGTCCGTTATTCCTGTCGTTTTCCTATTCCATTGCTGTACTCAACTTGCTGGGAGACTCGCTCAGAGAGGATCGGCAGAGCAAGTGAGCGAGTGAGAGGGCAATGTGTGGCTCCGAATTGCGTCGCAGATAATATTTGGCATACGAAGAAAGCTTCGTAAGGCCTGAAACTCGCAAGAATTGAAGATGGAGAAGGTGTAAATTTATTTATATTCACATATAAACATTTCTTAATGACAAAAAGTCTTTTTTTAGTTCCCCTCTCAATAATCTCTCTTTTATGTGCCACCTTTTCAGGAACTGCCACGCGCTGAACCTCTCCTGGGCGGACCCAACTCTGCCGATGAGTCTGAGCTGCAAGATCTTGACCAGGAGGCTCGCAAGTCCGCAAAGGAAGACTCTTCGGACAAGGACAGCGCGGCGGACAAGGACAACTCATACTCGGAGAGCGATGAGACCGACGAGCTGCAGAAGTTGCCCGGCAAAATGCCGCTCGAGCTGGACTTGAGCGAACTGGCCGCCGCCCTTCTGCGCAACAACAAGAAGTTTGTATTTTTGTTGTTGTTGTTTGAGGCCTGACCCTTTTTATGACCCTGAATCCTCTCCATAGATCCCGCATGAACTGCGTGGTCGAGCGCAAGCATGCCGAGGAGATTGTCGACACGCCCGCAAAGACGGTGGCCCTGCCATTCGGCGTGAACCTCACGACAGATCCCAAGAAGGCCCGCATCACCGGCGAACGCATTTCGATCTTCTGCGATGGTGGGGATGAGGCCAGTCGGGAGGAGAAGGAGGCCAAGCGCCAGCGCGAGGAGGAGGAGGACTCTGACGAGGATGCCGAGCCCATGCGCCCCATGTTCATTCCCTTCCAGCGCGTGCCCATTCCATTCGGCCGCATGCCCGACCAGATGCCGCTGACCCACATGCCCCAGCGCATGATGCCCCCGGCCATGCAGATGCACCAGCACCAGCAGCTGCCCCAGCAGCAGGGACCCATCATCATCCGCCAGCTGCCGCCCCCATTCCAGCACCTGCCCATGCGTCCCCCGATGCCGCCTCAGGTGATGCAGGCCCCGCGCATGGAGTCCTCCGAGGAGCAGCAGCAGCCCAAGATCCAGACCCTGCGCATCCACATGCAGCAGCTGCCCTTCCGCGAGATCCACGTCGCCGATGATGTGCCCATGCAGATCCCCGCCCAGCACCGCGAGCAGCAGATGATCCAGCAGCAGCGTGACATGCAGCAGCAGCGCGAGATGCAGCAGCAGCGTGAGATGCAACAGCAGCGTGAGATGCAGCAGCAGCGTGAGATGCAGCAGCAGCGTGAGATGCAGCAGCAGCGTGAGATGCCACAGCAGCGCGAGTTGCCACAGATCCGGATCCAGCACATGCCACTGGCCATAGCTCTGCAGCGTTTCGGCATCACCGCCGATGATCTGAGCAGCATTCAGAGCATGGCCGAGGATCGCATCACCGACGAACTGCGCCGCCTGGCCGCCGAGGAGAACACCGACTCCAATGAGGGCAACGCCTCCAGCGAGGAGGATGATCGCACTGACGTCTCGTCCAGCTCTTCAGAGCAGGCCACCACCGAATCCCAGGCCCAGTCCCAGACCCAGACGCAGCCCGAGCAGCCGCAGCAGTCGACCGAACAGCAGCAGCAGCAGGAGGCGACCGAGCAGCAACAGCAACAGCAGCAGCAACAGGTGGAACAGCAGCCCCAGATGCGCCTCCAGCGTCTGATCCTGCAGCCCCTGCCCGAGCAGCCACGTGATACCATGACCCCGCCCATGCCCGATCAGCCACCACAGCTGCAGTTCGGCCGCATGGTCTATGGCCGCAGCCTGGCCCAGCCCGTGCGCATTCCCGTGCCCATGATGCAGGCAATCGAGGCAGGAGCTGCCGCCGAAGAGTCGCAGCGACCACACTGTGAGTATAAAATAGATGATCAATATGCATTCAATATGCTCAACTAAATGTTCGCTCTCTGCTTTGCCAGTCGTCCAGCCTCGTTCCGTTTAAGTAACAAGAAGACCACGCCTGTGATTGCTGCTGTGCGAATCGAATCTCGACGAGAAACCAAGGAGGAGTAGAAGGAGGAGCAGCCAAGGAGTCAACTAAACCACACCCCACCCCACCACCCCCAAAAGATCGAATTCAATTTGTAGCAGCCTGCCCCTAAAAAAAAAACCCCCCCTCTCAGACAAACACCAAAAGAAAAGAAAAGAAAATCAAAAAGAGTTTCCAACACACATTTTGTAAAAAATATTTTGTGGCCTTCTTCTATATGTCTCCCCCTCGTATATTTGTATATTTTATATATGATTTATGTATATCCGATATATCTTCTGACATATATCTTTATGTATCTGCGTGTCTAACAAAACCAACAAACATTCCACAATCCAAAAAAAAAAAGAAAAAGAAAAAAAACGCAAAGCAAATCTCCTGTGAATCTCCAAAATGTGAAAAATGAATGAAAGTTGTGAAAGTTTTTCCAAAATAGTTTTTCTTTCAGTACTTTTTTTGTTGTTTTGAATTGTCTACAGTTTTGTTTTTCTCACACACACACACACACAAAATGCATACACACACACACAAATAAATCCGATGGAAATTTTTGTACATAAATTATTATCGTATTTTTAATTAATTAATTGTCTTGTGTAGTTGTTTAGTAAATTAAGAGAGAGCGTTTTGCTGAGATCTGTTGCTGATGATCCGATCTGATCCGATCCCTTTGATATAATCAAATTCCAAAATAAACAAAAAAAAACTAAGCAGCAAAATAAAACGATGTGAGAAATTTGTACATTTTTATATACATAAATATATATACTATACACACACGTACACACACAAATTTTGAAGCGAATAAAATTGTGGATAATTGGAAATCAAAATCGGAATTTTTGTGTTCTTTTTTTGGGTACGAGGATTGCTTTTTAGGCCTAGTCAAAACGAGAGAGTCAAAGCCAACAAAGGTTCGGGATTTGTTGTTCGTCAATGGCCTGTTTTACCCCATACCCCTAGTCGATACCACGACCATTTGTTTGGGCAAAGATGTTGCAGGATCGAGGAAAATCCAACCATAGAATACGGATCGGATCATACTTAATCATGGCAACACATATCATATTTCTCTCAAACATATAGAGCCACTCCCGGCCCTTCTAAGCAATGAAGATAAATTTTTGTTATTGACTAATGTAAAAAAAAAAAAAACTGCGTGCTCAACAGGTTTTTGACTCCGAAAGAGTCTGTTGAAGTCTTCTGAAAACAAAATGGTCTCATTTTCATGTAGAATATTTTGAAAAGAAATAAAAACCAGTTTCAATAATACATTATTTAAAAGAAATGGGAATTTCGACGTTGGAGTAGCCAAGAAATAGTCCTGATCTCAACCCGATCGAAAACCTTTGGCACGCTATGAAGGTTTTCATTACGAAGCAGAGACCCAAAACATTGTCAGAATTGGATATGATAATTGAAAAAGTGTGGAATGAATATATTACAATCGAAATCATCAGGAATGTAATAGATTCCAGCCATCACGCATAAAACTGGTTATAAAAAATAGAGGAGGTTCAACTAAATATTAATATAACAAATTTTTGTATTTTCTAATAGTCGTGTTCTTAAATGCAATAAAATAAATTTTGTTTTTCCTTACCAAAAATTTGTAATGAATTTTTTTTTGTATATATGAAAATTGTATGAAAAAGTGAATAATTTTTTATTTAAGGATTCTTTCGAAAACAAGGACATTTGTGTTCTAACTTTTGGAGTGTTTCCTTGGGTATTTAAATTGTTTACTTAGTTAAATAATTTTTTTTCTTTGGAAACATACCAAAACTTTATAAAACAGAAAAAAGTGTCCACTTTTGAGTGTCCACATTTCAATGTCCGCTATTGTATATTTTTTTCCTTGGACTATTGGCATAGCAATTTAAAATGCATCCTACTTATAATGGTTGAAAAAAAAAAGGAATTTCAATACAGCGATAGATGTTGAATTATTTACCAGGAACGGATGCAATGTCAAAGTTCCCTTCATTTCTGTTGAGGCCTACGTTCTCTAATAGAGCGCAAAAATAACTTTAATCAAAGGATAAACAAGTCATATGAATTCTTCAATAAGGTTCCTGAAGTCCAGTAAGTAATAATTCTTTTATCAAACAAAGATATACTTCTGAGAAGTTTCTTAGTATATTTCGTTTGAAATGCAATCAAACATCAAACCCAATAGCGTGTGCGTGTCTATATCTGTACTATAGCCCCAAATAATATTTTTTAAACTAATAGCATCATTTATATATTTTATTTCTCTATGTTTCTAGACATGCTTGCTGTTTCTGTTCTCATTCGCGGCTCAAAATCATATATGACAAACATTTGTCATTTTTTTAGTCCGTTAAGAATATACATACATATATATTTATCAGTTATGTGTATATATAAATATATAATAATCAGTGTGTAAGATATTATATCCGGTATATACAATTTGCAATGTGCACACAAGACATGGACAACAAGGGGGGTGGTGGCGGACAACAACCGATGTCAGCAGCAGCTTCCTTTGGCTCAGACCAGTACAGTACTTTATCTTTACAATTATCCTTTTTGTTTTGTATTTGTATAATTAGCTTTAAGTGTATATATGTATTTATATATATAAAGTATTTATGACTAATTTTAAGTTGCATTGACGAGTGGGGGGAATGGGGTGGGATGGGTTTTGGGCTGGTTACGTGATGTACAATACGATTTTTTGTTTTGTTTGTGGCGCTCTTGGTAAAAACATTTCGAAATTAAATTCGTTTCGTCTAAGCCTTAAAAAAAACACAAACACATTTTTTGCAGAATGACTAACATTTAAAGAATGACAGATGTTTCTTTCGGGGAGGGGTTGGGGGTGGTTGGGGCAACAGTTGATTATAAATGAAATACAACACACAGAACAACATTCTATAATCCTCCTCCTCCTCCTCCTTGTCTACACCGCCGTCTGGTCGGACTCACTCACTCATGTATCACCGATTTTTCAGTTTTTGTATTTTTGTGCAAAATTATCTTCTTTCGCTTTGTTTCGTTTTCCGTTTTCGTTAGGATGTAAAGCTGTAACAACGCGAACGTAAATTCATGTTATAATAATTATTATTATGATTAGCACTCCTCTTTTTCGTCCTCCTCCTCCTGTTGCATTCCACACCAATTCTATTTCGTTGCCTACTTCTACTACTACTCTGCTGCTCCGACAACACTTGGGTTGTTCTACTCTAGCCATTCTCACACTGATGCCCCTCACAGTTGCCCCAGAAGATGCAGTTGCCCACGCCGCTGTAGCAGATCAGCGAAACGGCGGTGATAAAGACCAGGCTGCAGATGGTGCAGGGCTTACGCTCCAGAAAGAAGCCCACCAGATACAGCACTATGAACATCACATGCGTCTCCATTAGTGCTGGATTCGTGGGCTTGGGTATGAGGAGCACCGGCAGCAGGCATTGCAGGCAATACATCGTGTATGTGATGTGGCCGACAGTGACAGTGTTTTCCGTGTCTGGGGTGCGTGGATGAGTGTTCCCGGCCAGCAGCGTTGACGTGGCTGCAGTGCGTTGCAAGTAAGAAAAGGGGGCGAGGCTTAGTTAATCGTTCTATAATTACTATCTCGACTGGTTGTCCTGGGCCCAAAGCAACCAGAGACAACAACGCCTTACAGTCACTCTCTCTCTCTCTCGCTCGCTCGCTGATCCTGTGTGTGTTGGCCTCTCCTCCGGTTGCACTCCGTGTTCCTAGCGTTTTTGGCTAATTGAGTCGGCTCCTGCTGTTCGTTTCTTTATAATTATCGCATATTTTGCCCGAATAATGCATGTTAGAGGTGTCAAACCATCGAGGGCTCTATCGATAGTATCGATATTGTACTGCTAGCCTCTACTATCGACGGTTTTGCGACTATCAGGATAGTATCGAGCTACAGTCGTTGCGCTTTTGATATGTTTGGATTGGCTGCTATGAAATACTGAGACACATTCGTAAAAAAATCGACAGGTGGCAACTAATTTTTACAATGGACAAGTTCCTAAAAGGTTTCAATGGTTTTTTAATAATTATTTGAGCCCGATACTATCACGATAGTATCGATTGTTTTTTTCAAAACATTCAACGTTGATATTCCTCGAATTTGATATTCCGTTTAATATTACTAGCTAGCTGGGACTCTCAGCCCTAAACAAATAATTTTATGCAACTCATCAATAAATTTTGTACAAGACTGGCTAGTTTTTAGAACTTCTTTTTATTGGATTGTTTACATAGTAAGGTTCAAACAAAACCGGCCAAAGTAAGTGTCTACCGGAATGTGACGTCATTGTTGCTGGTCAACCAGGTTTCAGCTATGAGTTTATACTATATACGATATACCCTAGTTCCTTTAATTACCGAAAAATTTCGGAATTTTTGTGCACTGAATGGAGTTTGGCGGTCATTTTGAAAAGTACCTTAATAAAAATAGATTGGAACTTGATTAAAACTTGATGATTTATTTATTTTATTTTTTATTTGTTTAAATTGCACGGAAGACATGTCGATATATATATATGTATATTTATATATAGGTCTGCGTTTTGTTTGATATGCAATTAATATCTAAACATGATACATAAGTACAGATGAGCGCGCTTGTCATTCTATGGCCACAGTCAGAAAACACAAAATAATTTAGCTATCAACTTCACACATTAACAATCCTACGACACATTCCAGTAGAGCGTATTCCCATAGATGGAGGGATTGGTGGCAATGGGCAGCAGGAGGATCCAGCCTGCCAGGCCAACTATATACAGGACGACGGCCAGCACACGCCGCCACAAATCCTGCTGCCAGAGATCTTGCAAGTCCGGAAGACCCATGTGATTGCAAAATGCATGGACGAGAAACGGCGCCACTATATGGCCAGTGCGGGCGAACAGAAATGCCGAATAGAACCCAAACAGGGTGGTGTAGATGAACTGGAACAGCCCGATCAGCAGGGCGGTGCTCAGCTCCACGCCCAGACTCAGTCGCTCGGCGATGTGATGCAGATGGGCGACGCCAAAGAAGAGCGGCGTTATAAACACAGCCGTCACCGGCGAAAAGCTCTGCAGGATCAGCGGCATCATGCAGGCACGGAACACAAACTCCTCGCTGAGCGGTGCCATCACATGATTGCGCACCCAAATGATGTTGTGGATGCAACCGCGCCAGTAGTCCACATCTAGAAGATAGATAGAGAGAGCCGAACAAAGGTGAGAAGACCCAGCCACATGGCGGTTTGTGTCCCAGAACATACCAAAGTAGGAACCAATCGACTCGTTCTGGCAGTTCACAAAGATGGGTCCCATGAACAGCAGCATTGTCAGGCCATAGGGTATCACCACAGCCTGCCACAAGCCCTCCGAGCGAAAGCCAAGCAACGTCGCAAAGGACTCTTCGCTGAGCAGCTCCGGCGATGAGAAGTACCACACAAAGAACGGGGCAAATAGCATCACCACCGAGACGCTGGCGAAGCGTCGCTTAATGGTCGCCGGATGGTCCCGATTATGTTTTGTGCTCCACACGTAGAGGCTGCCCACATAGAGCACGGCCAAAATGAAGCAGCATGTCACCGAGGTGATGATGGGTATCCCCGGCAGTGTCCCCTGGCCGGCAAAAGCAACCAGCACAGGCGGTATTGTGGTTTTGGGTGCCATCTCGCTCGCGTTAAACATATAAATGCGGTTTATTCGTCATTCTCCGTACCCAGAGAGATAACGTGAAAAAAGTACACAAAAACAGCTGTTCCACGACCAGGGCTGCACTGGACAGTCACTGCACTGCTAACAGTGCTCTGTTATGGTAACAGCAGCGCTACAGCCTCGCATTCTGGTGATAAGCAACAACGGCGCTGGCGGCTACGTTTTTTTAAACAATATAAATTCGCCAAAAGAGTGCGCTGCGCCATAAAATTTAATTGAATTAAATTATCCGTCGTAGCGAGTGCCTTCCCAGTGCAGCCCAAGATGTCGTTCCTGATGAAAGCAGCCGCCTGCACACGCCAGCTCGTTCATAAGGTTTCCCCCCGGCGCCCCAACATCTGTTCAAGTACCAAAACCGAAGAAAATGAGAGTTGACCTTTGTCTTCTTTGTTTTTATCACCCACGATGTAGAATCCGCTGGTGCTGCAGCAGCAGGTGCGTCAGCTGAATCTCCTGGAGTTCCAGAGCAAGGATCTGCTGCAGAAGTACGGCGTGGCCATCCAGCAATTCAAGGTCTTGGATAACTCCAAAGCCGATGCGGATGTTGTCAAGACTTTCGGTAAGGCCCACAAGAACCGGTCGACGTTTATGTAATCACTGCATTAATTGGCTGTTAATTAATCGTGTGCAGAGTGTCCCGAGTATGTGGTGAAGGCGCAGATACTGGCCGGCGGCCGTGGCAAGGGAACATTCGACAATGGCTTCAAGGGAGGCGTCCACATAACCTCAAAGTAAGATATGGATGCGGCAGCGGCAGATAACACGATTAATTGACCTTTTTCCACTCTCTCTCTCTGTCTTTATTCGGATTCGCTTCGCTTCGTTTCGGCAGCAAGAGCGATGTGCTCTCGCTGAGCAAACAGATGATCGGCCATCGACTGATAACCAAACAGACACCGAAATCGGGTATTCTGGTCAACAAAGTGATGGTCGCTCGCAGCGTAAACATCACACGAGAGACTTATCTCTGCATCTTGCTGGATCGCGAACACAATGGACCCGTGCTGATTGCCTCGCCGGCTGGGGGCATGGACATTGAGGCGGTGGCCGCGGAGACGCCCGAGAAGCTCCTCACTGTGCCCCTGGACATTGGCAAGCCGATACCAGAGGCCACGCTCATAGAGGTGGCCAAATTTCTGGAGTTCAAGGGCGACACCGTCAAGCGTTGCGCCGCGGAGATCCAGAAGCTGTACACTCTCTTCAAGTCTGTGGATGCCGTGCAGATTGAGATCAATCCACTGGCGGAGACGGACAAGGGCGAGGTGATCTCGGTGGATGCCAAGCTGAACTTTGACGACAACGCCCAGTTCCGGCAGAAGGATATCTTTGCCATGGACGTCACCGAGGAGGAGGCCGATCCCCGTGAGGTCGAGGCGGCCAAATACAACCTCAACTATGTGGCAATGGATGGAAATATTGGCTGTCTGGTGAATGGCGCTGGTTTGGCCATGGCCACCATGGACATCATTCAGCTGAATGGCGGCTCACCGGCCAACTTTTTGGACGTTGGCGGCGGCGTCAATGAGGCTCAGGTGGCCAAGGCCTTTGAGATCCTCACAGCCGATCCGAAAGTGAAGGGAATTCTGGTGAATGTTTTCGGAGGCATCGTCAACTGTGCCACCATTGCCAATGGCATTGTGGCTGCCTCCAAGAAGCTGAAGCTGAACGTGCCCCTGGTTGTCAGACTGGAGGGCACGAATGTGGACAAGGCACGCGAGATCCTAAAGAACTCGGGACTGCCCATTCAAACGGCCAGTGACTTGGATGATGCCGCTCAAAAGTCGGTGGCTGCCTTGAATTAGAGAGAGGGAGAGTAGAATGGCGAGATTAATGTCTTCCAGACGCACATTTTAGCATTTACATTGGACAGGCCTTCTAGTTGTAAGTCTTTTAACGAAGAATATAATCCAGATTATATTTTAATTTTACCAAAATTAACTTGGTTTATCAATTATGAGTCGTAGAGAGCGCAAAATTTCACACACATTTAGCTGGAGATTTTAACGAGATATCCGTTTATTAATTTGCATATGTTTGGGACTGCATAAAGTCGAAATATTTAAATTTTTAGTAAATAAATGTGGCGGCGCCAGCAGCTCAACAGCTTATGTTAACAGTGTACTGTTAAGCGCACATGTTAACAGCATCGCAGATGCAACTCTGCGCTAGCGCTATCGATAGCTAATTATTGTCAACACATCCCATCCCTAGTCCACACCCAAAGCCCAACCAAACAAACATTCCATCGAAATCAGCGAAATTAATACAAAAATTCCCATACAAAGCATGCAAAAGTCGTCTCATTTTGCACGCGAGGATTCCCAGGAGCATCTGCCCACACACCCACAGCAGCAGCATCAGCAGCAGCACACCGTCAACATGAAGCGACGCACCCTCTCCGGCAGCTGTGGCGTTGGCGTCTTCATCTTTGCCTTCGCCTTCATCGCCATTGCCTTTGCAACGCCCAGTTGGCTGGTCAGCGATTACCGCATTACGGGCGCCAAGTTGGATCGCCTGGGCTTGTGGGTGCACTGCTTCCGTTCGCTCCCAGATGTCAACGACGATAGCCAGCGACGGTTCTTTGTGGGATGTCGCTGGGTGTATGACCCATTTACCACGGGCTACGACGAGATACGCGGATTCCTGCTGCCAGCCTTCATGATTGCCACACAGTTCTTCTACACGCTCGCCTTCATTGGCATGCTGCTGAGTGCCATTGGTGTGCTGGTGTTCTTCCTGTGCGCCGGACCCGACCAGAAGCACTTCATCACACTGATCCGATCCGTTGGCTATGTACTGCTCGGCGCTGGCGTCTGTGCAGCCATTGCCGTCATTGTGTTTGCCGGCTTTGGCAATCGGAATGGCTGGATGCCGGAGCATGCAAACAACTGGTTCGGCTGGTCCTTCATCCTGGCCTGTGTGGGCACCGTGCTGACCCTGGTGGCGGCCACATTGTTCCTCAGCGAAGCGCATGTGCAGCAACGCAAGCGTTTGCAGTTCAAAGAGTCGCAGACTCGATTCGAGTTGGTCCGCGGATAGTTACGGGTAAGTGGGGGTGGGGATATCTAAGCCATGGACACAGACGCTTAACCTTCTTTGTCTTTTAGCAACAAGCAGCAGTAGCAGTAGCAGCAGTAGCGTCCGCAGCAACAACAGCAACAACATTCCGTCCCCACGACACACACAAACTTCTACGAAGAATTCTCACCATAATAATTAAATATAGTTTTTTTTTTAGTTGGAAATGTTTATGCAATTGCCAGACGACGACGACAGACTGTCGTCGAATACCCTATAACCCAGCACATCACATCAGAAGAAACTTTCAGTTTTATGGTACTTATGAATCATCCATCCAATCCGACGACGACGAAGACGATAACAAAAAGTTCTAAATGAAGACTGAATGTATCCGCAATGAAATCTTCTTCCTTCGGCAGTATTTATGCAAAGAAGCTCAAACAAAAGTGACTCATTTATTTATGTGTAGAGTATATGACAATTTGCATATCAAACTTTGTCGCTCAATTAACGCCCGCGCACACAGCCCGTAGCCCGTACCCGCAATTGCCACCCCCTTCACTCACATACATAGTACACTACACCTTGCTGTAAAGTCGCAGAGCTCTGTCTGAACTAGCAACGAAATATTACACTCGTGCCTTAATTAGAGAAGCTTTTTTGGTATAGTTTATAGCGCTTAAAATACATACATACATATTACTATTAGATTCGACTACCTGATCCACACACAGACCTGCGACACAAAACCCTTCTTCCCCCCCACCAACCCATTTGAATTGCATAAACTTCTGCTATGAAAGTGCCTTAGTTAAGAACCCAGACAACACAAAAACAACAAAAACAAACCTAAGCAAAAACGTCCAATAACTTGTAAGAAACAAAGTGAATAGAAGAATTCATCCCTTTTATACTCGAATATTTTTGAATATAAATCTATATGTATACATATATGTACGTATATGTATTAGTGTTTTTTTCAATTTCCAATGCACTGTTTTGCATATGTATTTAGCAATGTATTAAACAAAAAACGAACCATCTTTATACAAAACACGCCCAACCCCCTGACCCCATCCCATATACAATAATATGTGTAACATTTTTGATGTACAAAGCGAATAAAGTTTTTATTGTATACAAAATAAAATAATAACAATATTTGAATGCAACTCTCTGAGTTGCATTGCCATGCGTGCGAGTTCAAGGCGGACCCGGACCCCAAGAGTGGATGAGTGGAGGCAAACAATGAAGTTTTGCTTTTCCCATGGCGCTGCACATTTTGGGAAAAATCAAAATCTTTTGTACGGGTGTAGCGCGCAGCTTCTGAGGCAATGCATCGCTATGCATGGATATGCATCGGTTGTCTGGAGTAACAATTGATATGGCATCAGATTATGACGTGTGTGGGGCGGGGGCCAGTGCCATGTGTCTGTCTGTCAAGCCAAACCATTTTGAAGTCAGGTTTTCATGTCATTAAATTGGGAAATTGTGAATGAAAAACGTCAAGATGAGAGCAGAAATGCAATATGATTAAAATAGGGAAATCAATATGTAGGAATTTAATTGATACGCCCAGTATTTGCTGCAAATATCAAACCTATAGCCGTTTCAAAGCGTTTTTCTGTGCCTAATTGTTCTCAGAGTCCTTCTATATATCCTTATACTAGATAAATAATAAAAATAAGTCCAAAACATTCTCTTTGTTTTAATAGTTTTTTTTTTAAGTAATTGATATTACATATACTTCTTTCTCTGAGGTACAATCAAAGCCCATATCGAAAACCAATATAAATATAATAAATAAAAAATATAATAAATATAATATATTATAATACCACTTTGATTATTCTCATTAGTCAGATTACAGCCAGCCGCTTAAAATGTAATATTTTAAAGGCCTCAAAGATCGCTCTGTGACATCCTCCACTCCAGTTGATTAATTGTTCATTTAACTCCCAAAGAAATACTCGTTCAATATTCGTATTTGATATTTTGAAGGCTCTTTTTGGCCTTTCGAAAAACAAAAGAGTGCTAACAAAACTACGAGTATTAGATCATTTTGTCAACACATCTGGCCAGCGGTTCATGCAATCACTTAAAAACTCTTTTAAATAGTAACCATAACAAATTGAAATATATTAATATACCCCGCTGACTTATAAAGGCATAATTAAGCGAGAGTTATGGACTACACACACACCCACATATTTGTGACCTGACATGGCAAAGACAGTATGGAAAGGAAGCGACTGAAACACAGAGAGAGAGAGAAAGAGAGATATATATTTTGACAAACTTCGTGAGGACTTTTTGAGGCGTGAAATCGGGCTGAATACAGTTGGGATTGATGGATGGATGGATGGATGGATGGATGGATGGGTAATCGCTACAGATCTGATTAGCACAAAACAAATTCAAAGCAAACCGGATGCCTGTCTCATGACTGACTGACTCAATCGCAGCCTTGGGGCTGGCTGGCCTGCTAAGACTGCACAAAAATATGTGCTAAACGCAAATTTATTTACGGATTTTATTATGGCAATACCAATCCCCCCTGTATATAGAGGCATGTTGTATGTATCTATCTCTCTCTCTCTCACTCTCTGTATGATGACCTCACATGCCGTTAGCATGACAAACATAGAGCCGCTTAGTTCAGTTATTACACGGAACGGATTAAGAACTTTGCGGCTTTAACTAAACTTAAACTGTGTGTGAAAATTGTCGAGCTGTTTGCTCGGATTTACTTGGCACCCCAGGGTTGATGGACAGGCTACAGTTGATAAATCCCCTCCGCATTTTGGAGCAGTCTTGTAATTAAATTTGATTTAAGATTCGTTATATCATGGGGAATTAGCATGAACAATCTTCCGAATTGTCCGAAATACGGAAGATTATAACACAAATATGTAGGCATTATAATATATATATATAGTTATCTAAAGAGATATACATTTAAGCAAATAAATTAAAATTAATATATAAATAAATTCAGCAACAAAAACAAAAAAAAAAAGAAACAGAAGACAGAATAAATTTTTGCTTAATTTCGTTTCAAAGATGTTTCAAGATTTTCCATTTGCATAAAATGCTGCTATCTATCCACATACGATAGTATAGTAGATACAATACGATACCAGACGTACAGTTGAGAACATCAATGCTACGACGAAGAACGAGAATCTAAAAAAGTTAATTTCCAAAAACCGACAGAACCGATGGCTGCTGCTGCTTCTGCTGCTTCATTAACAAAAGGCAATAGACCTGTTCTTAGGCGGCTGCGGCTGCTCGATGGCCCCAGAGATTAATTGCCAACATTTTGCATAATATATTCAATCAAAATCGAACGTCAATGAACGCGTAACCAGCCTCTACATTGAAATTAAGAGTTAAGACTTTCGATGGTATTTCGTTTATTTTTTTTTTGTTTGGTATTTGATGAGAAAAACCTTAAATCGAAACCGAGAGTATGCGCCTGCGATTACGCAAAACTCTTAAAAATAAACTCTTTTATAATAAATATGAGCAATGGACAGATGGACCATTAGATTGATTATTGTTTGTGCCACACGCAAAGCAAAGCAAACTTTCCTCTAAAAATCCACTTATTGCCTTGTCTTGGTGGCTGCTTCTGCTGGTAATCTATAAATATTGATTGAGTCTGCCGCGCGCGAAGGTCATTAAAAAGTTTGTAGACATTTTTGGGCATCATTGTATTTGCGAAATAGAACGACATTTGAATGTCAATTTACACAAATTGGTTCAGGGTAAGGAGAGGCCCATTAGGAGCGACTACTGCCGGCGGCTACTAGATTAACTTGTCCGCTTTAATCAATCGCCTAAAAGGTTTCCTTTTATGGTCCGCCACACATAGATCCTAAAGATCAGAACAGGAGAATGTCTCTCATTTGCTGACGTACATAATTAATGGCGTTTTTATTTGAATTCTTGTTTTTGGATGGGTATTTTTTCAGAATGTATTTTAAACAAGATTAAGCAAGGATTTTGTTTGGCGTTTGGGGTTTGGGGGGATTATAGTTAGTGTCTGTCTGCCAAAAGCAAGTTTCAATCCATTAATATATGCATCCCAATAAGTTGAAACATTTCCAAATGGCTGGAAGTTGAATGAATTTCAATGAGCATCCGAAAGCGGAAAGATATCTTTTGAAATATTCCTGTTCGGTTTTTGCTCGCTTGCAAAGAAAGTTCTTGGCCAAAACGAAAGTAAGAATACGAGTTTGCTTTAGCTTAAGGCTTTCTTTGAAAGTGAAACAAGTTCTAACAAGTTTTTCTTTTCAATTGGTTAACCACAAATCCATCAGCCGCTTAGGTCAGACCACCCGTTGATTTTTAGGCATTTAAAGTCTCACCTTTTTCGCATATATTGTCTATTATATGTGCGTGCGTCAACAAGTTCCTTGAACTTCACACAGTTACCTCCTAAAATAGAACAAGGGAGGGCAGACTGTCGAGGGAGAAGTGTCTTGTCTGTTATAGAATATTATATGACACAACAATAACCAGTATCCCTCCACAATGACCATAATTCTGCCTCTCTTTATCGAGATATTATCATTTTAAATGGCCAAAAGTCAAAAGCCCAAACCCAAACAAGTGGCCAATCCGGACACACAACATTTTGGGGGACATAAAAATAGTGCTGATCCACATCGTTAGATATGGTTTCTTGGGAGGAGCTTCAGCTGAAGCGACAATAACCATAACTTGTATGTAAAATACATTTCACAACACTCTTAGATAAGAAACTTGCCTAAAATTCTAAAAGAAAAGTCCTATTAACACTCCATCGAACCGATCGAACCGATCGAACCAGTGTGGAACGAATTCGAATTCGTATTCTAATTTATGCGCACATTTTGCTCAGAATACATTTTTTTTTTTGCCAAATGAACTTTATTTTAGCAAAAAATTAGAATGCGGTCTGTCTGTGCTGTGTGCTGTGTGCCAATCATAAAAGTTCGAGTAGTTCTTCTTGATTTTTTGATGGTTTAGCTTTTTCTGATTTTGCACAGCTTTTTTTATTATGTTCCGATATTAAGTAAGGTTTTTGTGCTAATGGCGCTCCAAAAATGCGACTAATTGAATTATTTCTATGCTAATTCTTCTTTGCTTTTATTTTTGAAATGGATCGTAAAATTTTTCGTGACACCCGAGCTGTGCTCGGGTGTTCAGAAATCACCGCTTAAATGCTGCTTAATTTTTGAACTAATCTTTACTTTATTTTCAGATTTTAAGATTAATGTGTGTTTTTATTTGTGCGAAACCTCAATGCCACTGGTTTTAATTTTTGCTTCAGTTTGAATTCCATTTGAGGTTTTTCTTGCGGTTGGTATTTCCTGTAGACCAGGTATGCACGTCGATAAATCATCGTTGATAATTATCTTAAAGAGCAGGTGTGGTGTTTAAGAGGTTTTGTTTTGTTTTAAGATGTTGATGCTCTTTTGAGCGGGTATGGAATTTGGGGTTGGTATGCTTATAATTGGTTTTAATGATATTATTATGGCTTTGGCATTTTACTTAGGCGAGATCTATAATACGAACGAATTAAATAGTAAGTATTTACATTGTATCCTATCATTTTTGTGACCCACTGTAGGCACACACATCAAGACACACTTAAAGCAACATTCCCTGTGCATTCCCTGTGGATCTGCAAAATGGAAACGGAAATGGCCAAACATCAACCTCTCTTACTATCTCCCTTTCACTAATTACAGATGTCTTAGCTTAGTTTTCCGAGATGCACAATTCACAAACCACAATAAAAAGCATTCCCTGTGGGTTTGCAGTGTGGCAAGAGGAATTGCCAAAATACTAGCGGAACTTTGACACATTCTCTATCGCTTGCCATCTGCCTTACACTAATTATGTCTGCTTGCCTGAGAGGCAGAGATTCTGTTTCAATTAACAACGAGAGGGAGAGAGCGTAGAGTGAGAGTTTGAGTAAATGCCGTCTGCTCCCGCGCCTTTGCAGTCAAAGCTCAGAAATTGTGTCGCAAGGCAACAGCAAAATGTCTCTCATGTTCATCATTGCTCGCCTGTGATTGTAATTGTAGGTGCTGCCTGCTATTGCTATAGCCCCTTGGCTCTGCCCCCTGTAAGCTAATCTCAAGCTACAATCTCAAG